AACTGGACAATTTAATTTTCATTCCTATTCATGCACAGGCCTGTGTTGGAGCTCTTCCATGCTTTCTATTATGCTACTTGAAAAATGGCTGCATAGTTTGATACAAACAATATCTCAATCTGACATCAACAGCTTAGTTTTTGGACCAATTGATTTCATTCGAAATTATTCTTGGCTGACAGATGCTGATAGCTGCCCACACGAGATCTGAAAAAGCCATATTCTCTAATTTAATATTATAATAATTTAAAATTACAGCTTTATTAAGAGGAAACACAGATTTATTTATAGCAAATGCTGATGGTTTCTAATGATGTTCAGGGCTGTATTATGCTATTCACTGCAGCCCACATTTGGACAGCTTCAATTGTCTGAATCACTAACAAACACATTCTGGTACAAATAATGTCCTCCTTAATTCAAAGCAATGCACAGATCCTACAAAAGCAGCCCTGGAGAGAGCCAACCCCTCTGCATTGTCCCTTGCTCCTTGACCAATCCACCTGCAAAGAAGAGTTCTGTTTTTGAGTCTCAAGACACTGCTTAAAAATCTGCTTCTCCCTTGGCCTTCGTGATGTTGCAAGGCGCTTCTTTCCCCTTAAATGTGGATTTCAGAAGGGGTGTGGTCTTCAGGTGCATCTTTCCCCCTCTAAAAAAAGTCTGTGCGTGCATGCGCGCGTGCGTGTGTGCGTGTGTGTGTGTGTGTGTGTGTGTGTGTGTGTGTGTGTGTGTATCACATGACATGGTACACATGTGGAAGTCAGAGGACTACCTTGTTTGAGAGAGGGTTTCTTGTTGATCTCTACTGTGTACACCAGGCTACTGGCCCATCAGCCTCAGGGGATTTTCCTGTCTCAGTCTCCTGTCTTACTGTTGGATTACTGAAATTATACATACTTGCTACTGCACCCTGCTTTATGTGGGTTCTGGGGATCTGAACTCAGGTCCTCATGTTTGTGCACCAAGTACTTTACCACAAGACATTTCTCCAGCCCTATTTAAAAACTTTTTCTTTCCTTCCCCTTTTCATATGATCAAGACTCTTCTTGACCCATCAGATACCTCTAGGCAAACATTAATACAAGCATTTCTATCTTTCTGCAGTCCCAGTAGTTTGACATAATTCTGGAAGACAAGGTAAGGAAGTTGATAAAGAGTGCTCAGAGTCCATGGATATGGAGGGCCACCCAGGCCAGAAGCAACAGCTATGGCACTCAAATTCAGGCTTGTAGCCACCAGTCCCATATTCTCCTTTCCCAACAGTGCTTCTTGGAAACTACTAATCTCTGCCTCCAATACTGCCAGTCTCTAAAGCTTCAGACCTCCACGTTCAGACTCCAACACTAACATGGGGTGTCTGGCCAAACTTCAAAGTTAATGTGCTTAATTAAACCCACCATATTGTTCCCTAAACTATGTCCTTCTTTTGACATGCTCATTTCTACCTGTCTTTTTTTGAACCCCAGGCACCTGACTCTAAACTCACAACTGACTTAATCATTCTCCCACATCCAATCTGTTCTGAAGGCCTAGCAATAATTCTCCCATGTCACTACTTCCACATCCATCCTTCCTTTCCTAATCCTTCTATAAGTAGCTGACTTCTGGCTCTTTCTCTCCCCTCAGCCATCAAATAACCCAACTCCTTCAAACATAGCTTTCCTTCTTCATCTGATTGGTCCCATACAGCTCTTCAGCATTTATTATCCTAATTTTTAGGATAGCTATATTATTTCAATGTCAACCATTGACAGCTCCCACTGTCTCTAGAATAAATTACAAAACCATTCCAATCAAATTCGATTTGATTCCTACTTACATTTCCAAGTCAACTCCTCTTCTTCTCAGCACAAACTTACTATAGCCAGGTTCGTCTATGCCAAGCTGCTAGCACTTCCCCATGTGACGTTCCTGCCTGTCCCTACCCATGCCTAAGCAAATGTAAGGTACAGATAAGTCTGTCCTCTTCCATGGAGGACGTCCCAGCACCCTGGCACTTGAGCACATCCTGATCAGCATTATTTCCTGCCACTCAGCTGTCACTTACTCACACATCCAGTGTTATCTTATTTGCCATTTGCTGTCTTAGAGGTCCAAGCAGATCTAATGTCCACAGAAGTAGACTCATGTGTGAGGGTATTTGAGTAATAGATATTCAAATTATTTACTGGTTGATTACATAGCTGCCCATCATCATTTTTTGAAATGCAAATAATGTATACACTAAGTTAACCTCTGCAATGATAGTCTTCTAGGACTAATGTCTTCTTGGCAAAATGAAAGAATCCAGCCTCAGCATCATCTCTCTGGGCTTCCCAACATATATATTTGGGGCTTAAGTTTCCAGAGTATGAAACCCCTCTCCATCAATACCACCAATATTTCCATACTTGTTGGTCAGACTGGGAAACAAGCTCTTCATACTTTGGTAATAACCAAACTAGACATCTCCAGACCCAAAGAAAGGATCAAAAGCCAATGCTCTTGAAAAAGCAAGACACATAGCACTATGTATTCTAGAGATAAAAAAACACCTCCCTTCCTATGTGAGGCCCCACATGACCTTTACCAACACTTTACCAATCAGTTGCTCTGGCTTTAAATATACCAAACCACAGTGGGAGAACCAGAATGCAATCTGGCTCATTCTAATGGCTACATTTCAATCGGTCACTCTCTGCTCTGCCCTGCCCTTTCACCCAATCGAAAGCAACAGCAGGCCAGTTTGTGCTGTTATTGCATCAGCTCAAGCTGTCAGGTTATGGTTCTTGACAGATTCTCAAAAGCTAGCCAAGAACATGAACCAGCTTCTGGAAGCAGCACAAGACCTTTTGGTATTTACAGTCACAAGCGTACATCCTACACAGAAGCCCTCACAAGGTCAGGACAGAGACAGCAGGTCAGCAATTTGCCAAGATGTGATTCCATTAGCAGATTCAGAAGAAAACAGAACCCAACCCCAGGAGTCACATCATGCTAGAAGAATGCTCATGTTAGGCACTCTATTGCTTTTGTAAGGCCTGCTGATGGTTTGACATTTGTTTCTAAATTGAGTGGCCAACACAGATGATGCTGGTAATATATCTTCTATGTCAAATCAATCCTGATAGTAACTGTCAGATGTTAGGGGTGGGGTGACAGGAAGGAAGTGGGTGTGGTTAGAAATGAGCAACACACCCTGGCATGATGGTATGTATATACCATTAATCTGGAGGCAGGAGGATCGTTGAGTTTGACACAACCTGGGCTACACATTATAATAAGTTCCAGGCTAGCCTGGTGTGATGGTAACTGTCAATTTGACATAATCTAGAATCTTCTGGGAAAAGAGCTTCAATGAGGGATTGTCTAGATCAGGTTGGCCTATGAGTATATCTAGGTGGGGGAATTATCTTGATTATGCTAATTGAGCTGGGAAAACCCTCCCACCATGGGTGACACCATTCCTTAGGCAGAGGTTGCTAAACTGCACAGGCATGGAGAAAGCGAGCTGGGTGGAAGCATGCATGCATTCACTCTGCTCTTGACTATGAATGTGACTAGTTGCTTCAAGTTCCTCACACCTTGACTTCCCTGCAATGATGGACTGTAACTGGTCATTGTGAGTTAAGGTAAACCTTTCTCCCCTAAGTTGCTTTTAGTCAGGGTATTTTGTCACAGCAACTAGAAAGGAAACTAGGGTGCCTGGGCTATGCAATGAGAACTGGCCTTAAAAAAAAACCTGGGGGGAGGGGTTGGAGAGATGGCTCAGCAAGCAGTTAAGAGTACTGGCTACTCTTGAAGAGGACTGAGGTTCGGTTTCCAGCACCCATATGATAACTAGCAACTGTCCTTAACTTTAATCTCAGAGGATCTGATGCTCTCTTTTGGCCTCTGTGGGAACTGCACCCAGAGGTGCACTTACAAATATGCACTCAAAACACATACACATAAAAGAAAAATAAAATTTTAAAACCCTCACCCCTCCCACAAACAAATGAAATTTAGAAAACAAAATTAAAAAAACAAAGAAAAAGAGATAAGCAACATGACAAGCCTAGTAGTGACAGATATTTTGAACTTTGAGTATGTTAGCAGAGACATACTTACCCTATACATATATAGGTGCCAGTAAAATTGGGCAAATCTGAATAAGACTGGTGGGTTATAACAACATCAATGTCTTATTGCAATACAGCACTGCGCTTTTGAGAGATGCTACTATGGGGCAGGGAGGGAAAAAGTCTCTGTATCATTTCTAAAATCTGTTTGTGAATGTATAATAACTTAACAAAATGTTAAATTAAAATAAGGCAAATTTCAAAACCTAGTCTTCTATAATAGAATACCAGAGAATGCTAACTTATGAATACAATAGGTACAAATAAAATATTCAGGGCTAAAAAAAGATCTGGACTGAAAAGGGTTGTTACCAGGATCACAATCACACTAGCAGCAGCCTCACATCCACCCAGACATACCCCCCAAAGGACTTCTGACTTTTGCTCATTCACAGTGATGTTAGCCCCCTTCCCATTATCACACAATGGTGCCTTAACCTTGAGAAAGCAAGTTCCTCATGTTTTGTGCTAAGTGGCAATTACCATCCATAACAAAACTCATTTTAAACTCAGAGTCAAAGTACTTAGTGCCACATCTAGAATAAACCCTGGCATTTTGCACTTGCACCCTTTTCCAGGCTGGAAACATGAAGTGAGTGCTGACTTCTACAAAAAGCTTCATTCATCATTTCTTTTCATTAGAACTTGGGAGGGAATTTTGCTAAAACAAAGAGGAGAGGAGAGAGGACAAAAATCCCAGGTATTTTGTTTTCATGTAGAAATTACCATCACTGACTTCCCCTCTTTGTAAAACAGTGATACCTCAAACCCAGCAAGAGCTGGTAGTCTGGCATTTCAATGGTCATGGTGGATCTCATCACACTGTTGGAAGGGGCAAAGCCAGGCTCTGAAGTTCTTTCCTAACTCTTCAAAACAAAGCAGGGCAATGCCCTTACTCACCAATGTCATTGCTGCGGTCCGAGAGGTCCTTGTCCAGAATGCCAGAGAGTGTGCTGCCCGCCAGGTCAATCTTTGGACCGTCACCCCTACATTAAAAACACAAGTCCAGACACTTAATAATTGCTATGTGTCCTTGTCATCCTGTCAGATTTCTTGCTGCACACACATTAAGGAGGGTGCTGTGTGTGGGGCAAATGGCACTGTCGCTTGTGAAGGAGCCAGAGGGAGCCAGTGAAAGCCAATGAGCTGTCTAGCCACATGGGCCATGGTACAAACTGGCCAGCAGACTGGATGTCCCTTTCTTCTGCACATATTTTCAAAGATGGCTATTTTAATAATTGTCAGTACACTTCCAGCCACAAACCCTCCCACTGGGTACACAGGATGCAACACAGGCCTGCTCCCACCCAATGGCCAAATAAGCACTGGCAAATTGGAGCTTCCCTTTTAAGGAACACAGAATTTAGCCAATGCTTCTTGTCAAAGGTCAGCTACTTTTAACCTTGAGAAAAAGTTCTTTGGCTTGGAGCTGAGGCATCAGGCAGGCTGTTGACAGGCACAAGGTGTCAAGTTGAGATCTGGCAACCTGAAGGCTGGCAATGGGGCACGAGTCTGTAAAATTAGATAGCTCCTAGGTGGTCACTCCCCTACCCCCTCCCATCTGCCCCTGCTCCATGCCCATTAGGACATGAGTGACTTCTCTAGCATTTGGGCTGGAAGCAGCCCACATATAGTATGGGAACAGGCCTATAAGATGATGAGAAAAACACAGCCTCTTTGTGTACCAGCCTGAGGTTCCTCCATATCCCTCCAAAAGGGCAGTTCTTTGGCCTTGTTAGGGAGATGAGCCCTGAATAAGGTTATCCAAGGGCTGATTCTTGCCCATAAAATGAGAGGGAGAGCTGAGCAGTTGCTCCCAGTAAGGGAATAGAAATAGTCCACCTCACAGCCTTTGAAGGTCACCATGGCCTAAAGCTGAAATACATAAGGAGTAACAGATTTACTTCCCCAAACACCTGTCAAATGCTGATTGTGCTGGGGGTATGGAGTCAAGCTGGGAATTACTTACTCTGGAAAGGCTCATGGTCTAAACAAGAGAGACACATAGACTACCACAGGCCCACAAAGCATGGGGTCACTCAAGATAGCTACATGTCATGGTCCTGAATGGGGTAGGGAGCTCTGCAGGGTGCACAGAACAGGAAGCATTACAGTTGGGCCTTGGAAAAGAAAGAAAAGATATACCCATAAGAGGCAGGATTGTGGGATAGGGAAATGGCCCAGTGGGTTAAACCACTTGCCACATAAGCATGAGGACCAAAGTTTGGAACTCTAGAACCCACATAAAGCAGGCCCAATTGCTTGCATCTATAATCTGAGTGCTCCTGAGGCAAATGGGAGGTGCAGGCAGAAGAATTCCTGGAAGTCTTTGGGCTAGCTAACCTGGTGAATGTGGTGGGCTGGGGGACACAAAGAGGCACCTTCTAAAGGTAGAAAGCAATTGAGTCACAGGACTGACACCTGAGGCTGTCTTCTAGCCGTCACAAGTGTGCTGTGTCTGTGTACACCTACATTAACAAAAAAATCTAATGAAAAAAGGAAGGATTAGAAAGAAAAAGAAAAGAAAGGATAGAGGAGAGAGAGAGAGAAGCAAGACTGAGGAGAGACCAAAGTGTGCATGAGGGTGTCAGGGGTCCCAGGACTAAAAGCCTAAAGTCCCCAGAGACAAGCAAGAGGAGACAAGTTGGCGAGATTAGCATGGGCCAGGTTATACTGGGTCAGGCATGACAGGGGTGGCTTTATCCTGGAGGTAGTGAGGTTGGAGGAACACTTGTAAGGCCAGAGGACAGGGAGGGCTCTCAATTAGGGAGCTGACGAGGTGACTCCTGCACTTCTCAATCCAGATGGAGTTGTGGGAGTATTTGCACAGAATGTCTGTTTTTGTAGGGTGGTGACTCATGGAAGGAGGAGCATCTCCTTTAGTTCTCAAGTAAACATGACTCTAAACTCTCAAATCCTCTTGACTAGAGGTAAGACTCATGTATGTAATGCTCCCTCTTCCACTCGAACTCCATAAAGACTGTTCTAGAGTATGTATTATGAGGCTTGCTGGTCCATTCAGAGCTGTGCTGAAAGAGATGTTCAAGAAAAGTATGATCTATTCAACCTGAGGGGTGAAAGAACTTCACAGCTTCTTTATTATCTCACCCTGCTTCGTAAGGCTTTGGTGTCCCCAAGCCAGGGTTCCATTTCAGAATCCATTTCTATGTTCCTGGCAACTAAGGCTCTGGGCCCTCAAGGTCACTGCCTCGGGCAGATACTAAGTCATAAAGAATGGTAGGGTCAAAGCAATTTATTTCAAAACACTTGATGGTCAGAAACCTAACAGCTACTAATCTGAAGGTGTAGTCAACTTTCGACAAGTTCTGCATATGCAGATTCAACTAACACTGGATTGTACAACTCAACAGCAAAGCCACAATGACCAGAGTGAGGTAATTCTCAAAAAAGGCAATATACAAAAGACCAGTAAGTACATGACAAACTGCTCGGCACCACTAATCATCAGGAAAATGCCAATCAAAACCACAGTGAGCTATCACCTTACACAGGTTAGCATAGCTACTACCAAAAAGCAAAAAAAAAAAAAAAAAAAAAAAACTGGGAATAGTTATACACATCTGCAATTTCAGCACCTTGGAGGTGGAGGCAGGAGGATTACAAATCTGAGACCAGCCTGGGACACATAACAGACGCAGGAGGGTTACAAATTTGGGTTTAATCTGAGCTACATAGTTAGTGAAATCCTACCTCAAAAAACAAAAAGAATAGGGGGATGGAAAGATGGCTCAGCAGTTAAGAGCACTGACTGCTCTTGCAGAAGACCCAGGTTCAGTTCCCAGCATCCACAATTCAGCTAACAACAATGTGTAACTCCAATTCCAGGGCTCTGACACCCTCTTCTGGCCTCTACAGGCATTGCACACATGTGGTGCACTTACATACACGCAGACAAAACACCCATACATATTAAATAAATAAATAAATAAATAAA